AGGAGCAGCATTGCCGCCATAAATATGCATTAGAATTAAGTTGCATAAATTTCACATGGAAATCTGTGGCAATTTATTGCAAGCGTTTTAAATAAATTTAGAGCATCACTTCATAAATAACTCAGCTTCGGTATTATTTTGCTCCAAGACGAGACTATTAAATTTTAATGCCCAAACAGAGAGAGAGAGAGAGAGAGAGCATTTATTGAAACAACCACCACGCCCCAATAAGCCAGTCACAGCGAGCAATCATAAATCATCTCTGGCCAGGATTCTTCAATACAGGACACAGGCACAGGACAAGACAGCGGCCAGGATGCCAAAAAGTAAGGAGGGGAGAAAAAAATTACAAGAAAACAGAAAGGATACGACTATAAGATACCTAGGCGTCTCTCTTTCCATTTAGGAATACTTTTATCTCTTCTCAGGAACTTAAAAGTGAATAGAAGTCAACTAAAAAAGATATTCTTATTATTTATATAAATGCTCCTTAAACATAGTTAAGTGTCATACTTCCTGTAAGCTCCTATATATACCAAGGGGTATAAAAAGAAGTCAACTGCCCTCTGGGTCCATTACACGCTCACTTGCTTAGATAATTGGCAATGGCGTAGGGAAGTGGTGCTGGTGAAGGCCAGAGCTCCCCCTTTAATCACCAGAATTGTGAATTTGCAACGCGATAAATCAAACAGAAATAGTTCACGGCGCAAGACGGGGAAACTTCAGGCGAAGAATATACCATTACAGAGCTCAGCTCAGTGCTGATAATTCTCAATAATTAAAATCATTTAAGTTTATGAAATCCTTTTAGCTGACTTAACGGACTCAGGGCCCGAAAATTGAGTTTCGCTCGTTTGTTAATAAATCATAAATTGGCCGGGCAGGCGATGGCTTGCTGCTGCTCGTCTGCTTCTCTGCTTCCCCAGCTGATTGCAAAAGTTAAATGAACTTAAAGTTTTTCCTCTTTTTTTCGTGTTCTTTTGTGTTTTAAGCGGCTTAGTGGGCGGTTCGAGTTGCCCGAAACTTGCTTACGGCTTTGCATATTGATGCGGCATTAGGTGGCAGAAGTTGTGGCTCCGTTGTAGCAACAAGTTCTGCTCGGATATAACTATGAAACGCTGCGGCAAGACGATAAACTGTATCGCGCATACGCACTGTGTGGCGCCTTAGGGCAGGCTGCACATTGACATTCAGGCGGCGTCCGACACAGATACAAATACTGGCAAGGATAAAGAAATAGATAAAGATAGAGATGTAGTATGGTTTTGGGGGGGAAATGATGTTGATCATCATGGATTGGGGGTGGCTTTTATGTCAGCCATAAAATTGCCGCCTGCATTTTGGTTTCGTTTTGTTTGGCCATTAGCTTTTGTTTTGTTTTATTGCGGCTTCTGGGCCACTGTTTCAACTTGGTGCTATTGTTGTTGCACTAAATCAAAGTGTCGTTTGTTTTGTGGCATGGCAAAGGCCACCCGGCAAATCAAACACGATCCACCCGGGAGGGGTAAATACATCCAGATTCTGTTACCGATTTGGTTAACGCATTTTTATGTCCTCATTTTGGCTTTTGCATAACAATTAGCCAGGCACACAGTTGCTCTCTTTTTCCGCTTGCTTATTGCTTGCGGAAATTGGAAAAGGAAAATAATCAGAGACAGATAAAAACATGGGCTAAATGAGGAGGATAAACCATGTTTCCGTTCAAACGAATTACGATTTCCCTAATAGCAATCTTAGGTACTTTTTCAAATTCTTTTCTTTTAATCATTAAATAATCAAGACCAATTCGAAATCAATTTGAAAAATATACACATCTCTCTCTTTGATGTTATTTTGATTTCAAATCTAGAGCAATTCCTGTGGCACATCTAAACTCACAAGTAATATATATATTTTATTTTGTGGATTCATCAAATCTCTTCTGTCAATTTTCAAAGTTATTCTTTATTATTGACAGTCAAATAGTGTTAGTTTTAAAAGCACAAGCTTGGATATCTATGGAGCAGAATGAACGAATAAAAATGCCAAGTTGAAGCCATCCATCCATTTGCTTTCCATGAGGATTCCCCACGCTGTTAGACAGTGGAACTACCTTATCGGAGGATATTTCCCAGCGAGAGGAATACAAATATCAAATAAACGACAGCGCACTGAACCGCGAGAGCTGCAAAATGTGCAAAAGTATACAAAGAAAATTGCAATAACAATTTGGCGCAGACAAAAGCAGGGATAAAAAAAAGAACAAAAATAACCGAAAATAAAATAGAAATATTTAACGAAAAACAGTTGAATTTTTTTTTTTGGAGCAGAGTGCAGGGCATTTGCATAGAAAAATTCAAATTAAGCGAAAATGTGCGAAATGCTGTGAATGGTTCTCTGTCCTTTCCACGTCCTTTTCGTCCTATTTGGGTTTTCGAATGCAACAAATGAATGGCCAAATAAAAACTGGACAAAGAAATGGCAAAGCTGGAAATGAGCAGCCAAAGCAAAAGCAGTTGACAGAGGGGCCCAGAGGGGGCAAAGGAGCCTCATCGAGTGCTTAAAGTGTGCGTCTAATGACAAAGCAAATTGTGTGTATTTGCCAGAACAACAAACAGAAGCAGTAGCAGCAGCAACGAGAGCAAAAAGCTAGCTTTTCCTGAAATTGGAAAAGTTTTAAAGTTTCCTGCAATTTCCCTGCTGAAATTTCAATTGAATTAATCATGGAATAAGCCTCTTGGTAAACCGACCGCAAGTGCAAGCAGTGCAGTTGTACCACCCACCTTTTTCTGCCTCTCTCTCTCTCTCTCTGTCGTTGCTTATCCTGCCATCTCTTTCGAACACTCAGTAGTCTGCAACTATAACAATCAACAACGCTTGAGTCGCTGCACAGCTAATTGTTGTTGCTGTTTGGGCTGCTTAATTAAGACGTCGACGACAGCATTCGCTCGATTGCTTTCTCCCTCTGTCTATCTTTTTGCCTTCTCTAAATACACTGCAAAAAATATCTTAAAAGTGTTGACAAATCGATAGTTAAGAACATAAAAATGATCTATAGAAAAGAGTAGGAAGTAGGGAGTTCTCAATATACCTTTGCAAGGTATCTTTAAATCTAACTATTTTGGCTTTTGTTTAATTTTCTCATAAGAAATGCTTTCTTTTTTATACAATTTCTAAATATTTTGATAGTGTAAGTATGGCTCTTTTGACTCATTGTTTTGTGAGTGCATTTGCAATTCTACAAACGACATTTTCTCTTCTTTTCCTCTTAAATTGCCCGGCCTCTTCTTGTTTTTATTTGCATAGGCCAGCTTCGGATTCACATCCGCATCCGCAGTGCAAGTGTCCAAGGGAAGCCATTTCAACGTCAGCGGATATGTCAACGTCTTTCCCAAGCTCTCAGCTCGAATGATGAATGAAAAGTGCCACTTCCATTCAGGGATCGAAGTTATTGTAATTGCTTCCATTTTTTGACTTCAATGCCGCTTGTCCATCGACTTTATCCCTTTTATAAGGACACTCCACTGGGCGGCAATCGCATTAACGCATCAGTTTCTTATTTTTGTAAGGTATTTACATAACATTTGAGGCCACTCCAATAGCATCTAGACCACAGTGCGGGTAAAAAGTTATGGTACACTCGAAATAATTAAGTTGAAAACTTGACCAACCTAAAACTATAGAAATATTATGCAGCTTCATATTATTATATTACAAACTCCTTTTGCAATGGCTTAAAATTCAAGCTCTTCTCGGGATTCTTAAATCTTTCAACCCATTTCCCTCAGCGTATCAAAGATGAAATAGAAGATGGATAACGATTTTAACATTTTTTTTGTTCCTATTTCACTGATTTTTTTCCTCTTGTAGACCGACTTCCTTCACATGCCAGGACAATTGCCTTTGTCCGCCTTCGCTGCTGTCATTTGGCTTTTTTCACATTTCCCTGCCAGGCAGCCTGCTGTTGGTCCTTTTGCTCCTTTTTGCGATTCCTTTTGCATTATGCCCGTGCACTGCGGCCTGCATTGTTCGAATGTAAATTCCGCTGCCTTGAGTCCGCTCAGAGTTTACGGTTCGAAGGACTAAATGTCAACAGTTTTCATAAATCTGCCACTGCTGGTGGACATCATCAACAGCACGGCTCAGTCCTCGGCGGTCCTCCTCCGGACGCCAGAGTGACTGGTCTCCTCGACTCGTCTCGAAGTTATCTTAAGTGCTCCGAGTGGAAACTGTCAGTGCTTCTGTTTGTTCGCTGTTTGTTTGCTGCCTGGTGACTCTTGGTCAACTGCTTTTGACAAGCTCTTTAAGATAAATCAGTTTTTCGATTGGATTTTCGAATTGCAATGTCGCCGTGATGATGGGGTAATTAACCCACATTGAGCATAAATCATTAATTAACGCTTTTCATATTAAATACTTCAATTACCAAAGTTATTTTAAATTCAATCAATTTATTGGGATTTCCCTAGACTATGTAGCTTAACTATCTGTTTATATTTTGATACTGAGATGCACCATAAGAACACTTTAATCAGGGCTTGTCATCGCATTCTATGGAATTTCTAGACAATTACTTTCCATTAGCTGGCCATTGTAATGCTAAGCACAACTTTCAACTTTCGCTGCTTTTGGCCAAGCAACCGAAACACACAGAAATTGGCCAAGGCTCGGCCGAGGTGGCAACACAATAATATTTTATGGCATGGCATTAACATGGCCGAAACTAAAGCATTGTTTGTCAGCAAAAGTCAGCCAAATGTGCCGTTGGTTGGAATCGATTCGCTGGGGAAACCAGTTCCCGGGAATGGACAGTGAAGCATTCCATGTTCGATCTTAATCGGCGAGAGTTCCGGGGGGAGGGGGGTCCACTGTGTTTTCACATTCCCAGAACATTGGCGAACATGAATCGTCAATGCAAATTAGTTGCGGACTGACCCAAATTGGATGGCCATAAAATTGGTCGAATGGTCGAAAATCGGTTTAGTCGTAGACGAAGCCAACGCCTAAAATATGTATTAGCCATGAGACTGCCACTGCTGCTGTTTCTAGTCCATTCTTGTGCCCTTCTGGCAATCCGAGGTGAGTCTGCCTTGTCGCTGAAGCGAAAGTACAGTGAGTGCTCACTTTCAACTACACACAGCCACGCCCGCCAAGCACTGGCGACGAGCTCCCGCCCACGGTGTCTTCAATGTGGACATTTATGCCTACAATAAACCCCGAATGAACCTGGCCCGGCGTCAGGTCCTGCTGCAGGATCCTCCTCCGATGGGACACCTGCTGCAGCAGATCGCCCAGCACAGTCGCCGATCCACCGAGCAGAGGTCACACTACCGAAACCTCAACGAGGATGTGGAGGTCCTGGCACAACCAGAGAAGAAAACAATTGAGGAGCAGGCTATAAACATGCAATTAATGCCGCTGCAAATGAACTTGGGTACGCACGCACGGGAGAATTTATACTCGAACGAGTTTCATGTGCAAAATATAGGGGTCAAGAAGATAGTGCAATTGAATACCCTGACCATTGGGCATGAACATAAACCAGTCGGCGAAGAAGTTATGGCCCCAAGCCAGCAGCAGCCGCTGAAAGTGAAGCTGACACTGCCAGGACTGGCCGAGAACAATGCAGGAGAAACAGAAATCGTGTCGCAAGGGGATAAAATCGGAAAAGTAGATACCTCTGACTTGGCCTCGGCTTCGGCCTCTACTCCTGCTCCTGCTCCTGCTCCTGTTCCTGCTCCTGGCACTAAAGCCTCCGTGACAATGCCTGCAGGGGAATCCCTGACAAGTGTGAAGAAAACCATGGCACCGAGTGGGACAATTATCGATATGGCATCGACAGGAATGCAACAGCTTGTCAACCAACCGACAGCGGAGAATGCCGGTGACACGAGCACAAAGGCTCTGTCCGGCAAGAAAAAGAAGGACGAAACCAGAGCGCGACCCCCTCGTCCGAAGACCAGGCGCAAGCCAACGCAAACAGGACCAAGGACTTCCAATGAAACTGATACAAAGATGACAGCAAGCCAGGCTGTCACTACGCCAGTTCCTATTCCAGCTACTGCTTCTGCTCCTGTTCCTGCTGCTACTAACCCCATCCTGGCAGCAAGTCCAGGTCCATCGAATGTCATGCAACCGACTAAGGAATTGGAAACACAATCACCGGAAATCAGCACGCATCGTCCCTTAACAACGAAGCGGAGCAGGACCAAGTCGAAGGGCAAGGGTAAGGGAAAGGATAAGCGCCGTCAAGGCACCCAGAGACGTCCTGCCAGCGCTGGAGTAATGGAGGAGGAAATTGAAACTACGACAAATTGGTGGCAGATTCTCCCGTATGCGGAAATTAGAAAATTTTTGAATACGATTTATGACACCATCGCCGACGATGTTGACGACGACCGTGCCACGGATGATGTGTGAAATCAATGACATACATTTGTAGCTAAGGGGCATGGTATTTGGGGTTCCGGGGTTAGGGTTTATCAAGGGTCCGGCCAGGCGTCGAATTGAATTTCCGCCCGGAACTTGACTTTGTGTACTGATCAAATAGCTAGTAAGTCGGGGATGTGATTCGATTGGATACGATTTGGGTGTCTTATGGTCACAGTAATTTGCAATAAAACGGAAAATTTACATAGATTAAAATGCTCATGGAGTTTAAACTATTTGTGACTTTATTTGCCCTAAAATATCTTACCATTTGGGGACTTTCACTCTCGCTTTAAATTTCCACCCCCATTAATCAGCATTTGTTCAAATAGTACAGTCATCAGCGTCTCATTTGGGTGCGGGATGCTGTGACAACAAAGATGACTTAATTAAATGCTCCCCCCGATTAGAAAACAATAACGCGGCTGGGCACTTAAAAAGCCATCTATTAATATTTGAATAAACAAATAGAGAGAATGCGAGAACCCCCTCGGTTCTGTGCTTAACGCCAAATAAAACTCTTATAGACAGCTTAATGGGCATTAGACCCGGGCCCAGACCCCTGGCATAGCAGGTTAAAGTTGAAAGTGGTCGGACGGCTTCCATCCTCGCAGGTAAAGCGTGAATCCAGCCGACATTAATGAGCTGAGAATTTTGTTTATGGTTGCGAAATGTATTTCAGCCGGAATAAATCTCCGACAACTGATGGATTTGGTCTTAATGAGAGATAATAATATTGATGATTTGGTTATTTATTGAGTCTCTTATTGCAACACCAGCAAGATAAATCTATGTTTACTCAAGTAGTTAAAAGGAGTTTGTCGCGCTAACTTTCTTTTGCGTCGCATTTCCTTTTTGGGTTTGGGCTCCACCTCGGCCACAAGGAATAGTTGCGGTCCAGCTCCTGGAGGGGTCAATTCAAAGGTTTCTCGAACAGTAGTTGTTTTTTGAGCGATGGTTTTATCTACGACTGGTTGAAGTGGAACACTGAAGGAGTGACCCCCGTACAGATGCAGCTGCCAATCGCAGAGATTTGGTGTAAAACTGCACTTGATGGTGGAGTTATCCGCGACGAGCTTGGCCTGGCTCAGGTTAAGTTTCTTTAGATCCTGCAGTACCCCATCGTTGATCACTGGACTAGTTGTGCACCAACGGACTGTGAGGCAGATCGTAAATATTACTTGCCACGCAGAAGCTTGGACGGAGCTCATTTTAATTTCACCTACTACCTCCCCGTGGAGCTGAACTTGGACTGGCCATTGGAGCAGCTGAGATGGTGGAGTGGGGCAACTGAAACCAGTTTCCCTGAAAAGATCCGACCCGAGTGCTGCTGTCATCTTTCATCTTTTGTCATGTCAAACGAATTGCGGCTGAGACATTCCAAAGCTTTGTAATAATCGGGTATCTTGGATGTCAGTTAAAGAGATCGACACGAGGCCCCTTGTTCTTATTCTTTATTTCAGAGAGAGATTTTGATTGCTCTGCAGGGTATCTTTCTTCGATTGCCTTTGCCAAGCAGGTCTTCGTGTGGGTCCCAACCATCCAGAGCTAGAACGCTCTAACTTATTTCCTCTTAAGCCTGGTGAAATCAGCAGCAGATGTCCCTGGCCATCGACAATAGGAACGATTGACGATTCCTCGTGACTTGAACACGAGTTTGGATAGTACAGGCAAAAGTTGGGATCGGTGTTCCATCGAAGCAATTCAAAATCACTGACTTTGGAGTTCCTAACACTTTCATCTTGACACAAAGGCAACTGTGGATAAGTATCACAAATTGAAGGTTCCGGTTGATTCGTTTCCTCTTGACACACAGGAAGTTGGGGATATATATCGCATATTGAAGGTTCTGGGGTTACTTCATCTTGACATGCTGGAAGTTGTGGATAATTAGAGCAGATATTAAACGTTGGATTTGTCGGCATGGTTATTGGTTTCTTAGATGTCGTAGATCTTGTGGGTTTTGTGGAGGTTATTGGAGGCCTTGTAGAACGTCTTGTTGAGGTGGGACGACTCTTAACAAAGTCTGAAAAAATATTCCCTACATTCCAAACGGGTATTCTGACTTGTATCTCGTGTCCGCTTGAGAGCAGAGCGAACCAGCTGGGCACAGCGATCAAAAGCGAAAACAAAGCTTTATTGAGCAGCAACATGCTCCTTGTCTAGTGACAAACTAATGCTAATACTCTATTGACACCTATATATATTCTATTCCTATTAAATGTATACGAGAGTCGCCACAATAGAATGATCGTTAAAATAGAAGACAGCAGAAGAAAGTCCAATAAACAATGCAGATCAACATCCTACAACTTGTTTATATTACTTTTTTAAAATGCTAAAAAGTGAGATCTGATTTGATTCTATAAAAGCATTCGCGAATCTATAAATTCAAAAAAAAAAAATTCACGACACATTCTTCATATAAATTATCTAATAAATGGGTGTGTCTCAAGACAGGAAAATACTTTACCATTTGGTTTTTGTAGTTTGAACTCTCTTCTCTTACAAGAATTATTTGATTTGTTTTGTAGATATTATATTATTATTTATTGATTGCATAAAACATTTTTCGATCATCCTTCAAAGTCATCAAAGAATCCTTTGATCGGCAGATACAAATACGAGTACTACCCTTTGGAGTGGACAGGTTTCTTCTCTGCTGGTGATATCAACAGCAAAGGTCTGCCCTTCTCATCCGACAAACTCACAAACTGAGCTTCCTCCGGTTTCATACAAAGTCTAGGATAATAGAAGCAGAGAGAAGTCACTGGATGTGGCTCCGTCTCAATGGAGAGCTTCTGATCTGGCTGAAGAACGCTGCTCAAATGATTTTTCTCGGACAGGTACACCGACTTAATATCCCGGCATTCTGGAAGAAGAGGATAGATTTGGCATAGATCCCGCCCAGGTGGATTCGTCGTGGGTGCTTCAGTTGCTCCCTCAGTTGTGGCAGCCATTGTTGTTTCGGGGGGAAGCACCGTTGTAGTTCCAGGTGCTACGGTTGTTGTTCCAGTGGGAGGATTTGTGGTCGTTTCAGTGGGTGCTTTGGTGGTCGTCTCTGGAGGTTTCTTTGTTGTGTGAGGCGGGTATGTTGGTGGTGGATATGGCGGATAGGGATAATAATAAGGCGGATAAATGTGAGCCGGATTGTAGTATCCATAGGGCGGCCAATACTCTTCACGATGAGGACGTTCCTTTTTCTTTAGAGGATTTCCCGAGTCCTGCCCTGTCATGTAACCAGTCACTTGTTTGATTGCTCCTCCAAAATCCCAAAAGGGTAACCGAACTTGAACCTGATGGCCATCGATGAAGGAACGGAAGCAATTGGGTCCAGCAGCGGCAAACCAGACCCAGATTATAGCAGTTTTTAGCAGTTGCATACTCGCAGGAAAATGTTTGACTGTTCTCTGCTGAACACAAACGCCTTTATATATCCATGGATGACCAATAAAAAGTAGATTATCAATCATTGATGGCAATGAATTTTAAGGGCAACAAACTAAAAACTCAACCGTAAATCGGTCAATCACCAAAAAGATCTTTAGACTGACGTTAATACGATCTTCACTTGGTTGTTGATATCTTCATGTGTACAATATATTAAGAGAGATTTTGCAAACTAGAACAGATGTTAGTTATTGCTTACAAACATATTTTCAGCTTGATCTTTGTATTGATCAAAAAATTTATGTGATTCTTTCCCTTAGCTGATAATCATTGGAGGTTTCTCAATGTCTTTTACAAAGTGTTTAAATTATTGATATAACATTTACAATAATGAATACTGTGAATGTGTTTTATTATCATTTATTAAAAAATAATTAAAATAATTTTTTAAATAAAGGTCTGTGACATAGATTTACTATGTATAAGCCATCAGTTATATCTCAAGAAATACCCGCTATCAAAAGCCATGGTTTTCCATTGGAATCAGACAACTTTACGAACTGTGCTTCATTGGGCTTCGTGCAGAGCTCAGGAAAATGATCACAAATCGATCCAACGGAGTGAGGTTTTGAAATAATCGATAGCTTTGGTGGGTTGTTGAGTGCATCCATATTCTCCAAGCCTTTATTGTCACTTGTTTCATTAGCTTCATCGCAGGTTCTTAGGTATGGATAGAATATGCAGATTAAGGGATCTCACCTAAATGTCTCTTCATTTGGTTTCGGTAGCAACATGCTCCTAGTATAAACACGGACTGAGGTCCAGGTTCCATTAATGGCTTTATATATTCAATAGATTGCCATTAAATTAAATCAGAACAAAAGAAATCAGCGGTTCAATAATGTTTGATCAAATAAAAGAACAAAAACCAAAAACAAATCATAAAATAAAATCGTCAAAGTCATCGAATGTGCTAATTTATTGTTTGCGATATTGAATGACATTTAATTAATGGATAATATAATTTTAATTGCATTCCCAAATTTCTTATTAAAGCCCAAGTATTAAATATTAGAATACTTTTCTTTATAAGAATAAAATTAATCAATAAAAGTAATGATTTTGCTGCTTAAGCCTAAATTGCTGATTAAATTTATACATTTAGGCGCTGCTTGTTTCTTTTCTTGATTAATCGGTAAACGTATCTACTCCTGGAGGGATTTTTTCGACGGTATGGTCGAGATCGAAAAGGCCGCTGTATTGAATTTATTGGCAGAGGATGCTCCTCCACTGCTCCAGGCAATATGAGGAGCATGGGTTTTCCAAATCCATCTGTTAGCCGCACATACTGCGCCTCCTCGGGTTTGGCACAGAGTCTTGGATAATTGTGGCATAGTGAAGTCATAGACTGAGGTGGCGATTGCACTGTAAGTTTCTGATCAGGTCGTAGTTCACCAGGCTGAGATCCTTCCATACTGAGCACCGTAGGGCTTCGAATGGGAGTCTCTTGGAGCAGGTATAATGGGTTTGATGTTGTAGCTTGCACATTTATTTTGGGTGTACTGATTGGTAAATATTTGGAACTCGAAATTATAGTCGATGATGGGAAAGTTCCTGTTGTTGATGATCCTCCTGTTGTCGTGGATCCATCAGTGGTTGAGGATTCTGATGCAGTAGAATTACTAGTTGGTTCGATTGTTGTGCTGTTTATTGCCTCGGTTGTTGTTGGAACACTGGGAGTCGAAGTACTCGAGGACGAGGAGGATATTGGAGATGCAGTTGTTGTTGTCCGAGTGGTTGTAGTCCTTTCAGTAGTTGTTGTAGGCCGCCTTGTTGTTGTCGGCCTTCTTGTGGGCTTTCGAGTTGGTCTGGGCCATGGTCGAGTTGGTCTTGGCCTTAAAGGCCGCAGTGGACGCGGAGGCCTGGGAAGGGTACTGGAACAGGTATAGGCAGGGGCAATGGCTCCACCGGTATAACTTCGCTCGCCGAATTTGCAGCGTATAATCCTTGCTTTTTATTATAGTATTCCTGCAGGAGCGCATTGTAGTAGTCGCCCCAAGGATTGGCGACAGCTGAATTTGCAACCTGCGGCGCTGCCGTGGAGCTTGTTGCGCCAAAAGCATTTGAAATACGAGAGTAAAGATCACCCACATCCCAGAGGGGCACGTTTAATCTTAAGGACTCCTCTGGCTGTTGGCTCCTCACCGCGATTGAAAGTATTAGCACAAGAAAGGTGAGCTTTGGTATCATTGGAGCGTATTGATTTGAATGACTAAATGTCTAAAGGAAAACTAAACCTAAAGCTGCGTCGAAAGAGCGTTTTTATAGACAAATCAGAAGTAAATAATACAACCACTGATGATGCCTTAAGGCCAGCTTTGACCCTAGACCTTTGTAAACTATAGAATTGTCTAATTAACTTGCTGTTTGTTTTTAAATATACGCAATAAAGTTATTTGTAAGTTATTCTGCCGATAAAGCCACTTTCTAGACAAGGGTCAGCGCTCTTTAATACTTGCACCTCCAAGTGAGTTATTTTCCATTGCCAACTTAAATTAGAGAGAATCTTATAAATAAACTGATTCATTCAAAAAACACGAGTAATAAATCAATGAAGCTACTGAGCCTTGGAATATACAAATGTTCTGAAATATAGAATGTAATTCCAAATAATCCATATTTCTACCGAATTCGATTAAATACAAATAAAGATTAGTAGTTATAAGTTTAAGTATATAAAACTAATTATATTAATTAACCCTTGAATATTTAAATAATCTCTCTGACTATTATACATCATAATTACTAAAGTAGAACAAATTCAAGATTTTCAAATGCATTTTATAAAAGTACATTAGGTAGATAAAATGTATGCAAATGAATACATTAATTCTTGTTTTTTCTGACGGTTCTTTTCATTGCTCGCCACAGGGCAGGTTGAACATGACTATGAGACCTTCCTTCAACTGATGATATTAGCAGTAAGGGTTTTCCATTTTTATCAGCCACTCGCACAAATTGAGCTTCTTCTGGTTTTGAGCACAGGCGAGGATAAAAGAAACAGAGCGATGTCACAGACTGAGGCTTTGATGTGATCAATAACTGTTGATCTGGCTTGAAAACTGTGCCCGATTCTCTGATTTCTGAAAATGTTGGGGTTTTTAATACCGTTTCTCCAAAATGTTCCGATTTTGCAGTTTGACAAAGAGGAAGTTGGGGATACTGTAGGCAAAGTAAATTATCTGTCGTTGTAGAAGTCGGTATCGCTGTAGATGTTGTTACATCCGTAGTCGAGGACGATGATATTGCTTCTGTTGTCGAAGCTGTTAATGGACTTGCTGTTGTTGATGTTAAAGCTGCCGTCGTAGAAGTCGGTATCGCTGTAGATGTTGTTACATCCGTAGTCGAGGACGATGATATTGCTTCTGTTGTCGAAGCTGTTAATGGACTTGCTGTTGTTGATGTTGAAGCTGCAGTCGTAGAAGTCGGTATCGCTGTAGATGTTGTTACATCCGTAGTCGAGGATGAAGATTCTGTTGTCGAAGATGTTAATGGACTTGCTGTTGTTGATGTTAAAGCTGCCGTCGTAGAAGTCGGTATCGCTGTAGATGTTGTTACATCCGTAGTCGAGGACGATGATATTGCTTCTGTTGTCGAAGCTGTTAATGGACTTGCTGTTGTTGATGTTAAAGCTGCCGTCGTAGAAGTCGGTATCGCTGTAGATGTTGTTACATCCGTAGTCGAGGATGAAGATTCTGTTGTCGAAGATGTTAATGGACTTGCTGTTGTTGATGTTAAAGCTGCCGTCGTAGAAGTCGGTATAGCTGTAGATGTTGTTACATCCGTAGTCGAGGACGATGATATTGCTTCTGTTGTCGAAGATGTTAATGGACTTGCTGTTGTTGATGTTAAAGCTGCCGTCGTAGAAGTCGGTATCGCTGTAGATGTTGTTATATCCGTAGTCGAGGATGAAGATTCTGTTGTCGAAGATGTTAATGGACTTGCTGTTGTTGATGTTGGAGCTGCCGTCGTAGAAGTCGGTATCGCTGTAGATGTTGTTACATCCGTAGTCGAGGATGAAGATTCTGTTGTCGAAGATGTTAATGGACTTGCTGTTGTTGATGTTGAAGCTGCCGTCGTAGAAGTCGGTATCGCTGTAGATGTTGTTACATCCGTAGTCGAGGATGAAGATTCTGTTGTCGAAGATGTTAATGGACTTGCTGTTGTTGATGTTGTTGATGTTGAAGCTGCCGACGTAGAAGTCGGTATCGCTGTAGATGTTGTTACATCCGTAGTCGAGGATGAAGATTCTGTTGTCGAAGATGTTAATGGACTTGCTGTTGTTGATGTTGTTGATGTTGAAGCTGCCGACGTAGAAGTCGGTATCGCTGTAGATGTTGTTACATCCGTAGTCGAGGATGAAGATTCTGTTGTCGAAGATGTTAATGGACTTGCTGTTGTTGATGTTAAAGCTGCCGTCGTAGAAGTCGGTATCGCTGTAGATGTTGTTACATCCGTAGTCGAGGATGAAGATTCTGTTGTCGAAGATGTTAATGGACTTGCTGTTGTTGATGTTGTTGATGTTGAAGCTGCCGACGTAGAAGTCGGTATCGCTGTAGATGTTGTTACATCCGTAGTCGAGGATGAAGATTCTGTTGTCGAAGATGTTAATGGACTTGCTGTTGTTGATGTTAAAGCTGCCGTCGTAGAAGTCGGTATCGCTGTAGATGTTGTTACATCCGTAGTCGAGGATGAAGATTCTGTTGTCGAAGATGTTAATGGACTTGCTGTTGTTGATGTTGTTGATGTTGTTGATGTTGTTGATGTTGAAGCTGCCGACGTAGAAGTCGGTATCGCTGTAGATGTTGTTACATCCGTAGTCGAGGATGAAGATTCTGTTGTCGAAGATGTTAATGGACTTGCTGTTGTTGATGTTGAAGCTGCCGTCGTAGAAGTCGGTATCGCCGTAGATGTTGTTACATCACTAGTCGAGGAAGAAGATTCTGTTGTCGAAGATGTTAATGGACTTGCTGTTGTTGATGTTGAAGCTGCCGTCGTAGAAGTCGGAATCGCTGTAGATGTTGTTACATCCGTAGTCGAGGATGAAGATTCTGTTGTCGAAGATGTTAATGGACTTGCTGTTGTTGATGTTGAAGCTGCCGTCGTAGAAGTCGGTATCGCTGTAGATGTTGTTACATCCGTAGTCGAGGATGAAGATTCTGTTGTCGAAGATGTTAATGGACTTGCTGTTGTTGATGTTGAAGCTGCCGTCGTAGAAGTCGGTATCGCTGTAGATGTTGTTACATCCGTAGTCGAGGATGAAGATTCTGTTGTCGAAGATGTTAATGGACTTGCTGTTGTTGATGTTGTTGATGTTGAAGCTGCCGACGTAGAAGTCGGTATCGCTGTAGATGTTGTTACATCCGTAGTCGAGGATGAAGATTCTGTTGTCGAAGATGTTAATGGACTTGCTGTTGTTGATGTTAAAGCTGCCGTCGTAGAAGTCGGTATCGCTGTAGATGTTGTTACATCCGTAGTCGAGGATGAAGATTCTGTTGTCGAAGATGTTAATGGACTTGCTGTTGTTGATGTTGAAGCTGTCGTCGTAGAAGTCGGTATCGCCGTAGATGTTGTTACATCACTAGTCGAGGAATAAGATTCTGTTGTCGAAGATGTTAATGGACTTGCTGTTGTTGATGTTGAAGCTGCCGTCGTAGAAGTCGGAATCGCTGTAGATGTTGTTACATCCGTAGTCGAGGATGAAGATTCTGTTGTCGAAGATGTTAATGGACTTGCTGTTGTTGATGTTGAAGCTGCCGTCGTAGAAGTCGGTATCGCTGTAGATGTTGTTACATCCGTAGTCGAGGATGAAGATTCTGTTGTCGAAGATGTTAATGGACTTGCTGTTGTTGATGTTGAAGCTGCCGTCGTAGAAGTCGGTATCGCTGTAGATGTTGTTACATCCGTAGTCGAGGATGAAGATTCTGTTGTCGAAGATGTTAATGGACTTGCTGTTGTTGATGTTGTTGATGTTGAAGCTGCCGACGTAGAAGTCGGTATCGCTGTAGATGTTGTTACATCCGTAGTCGAGGATGAAGATTCTGTTGTCGAAGATGTTAATGGACTTGCTGTTGTTGATGTTAAAGCTGCCGTCGTAGAAGTCGGTATCGCTGTAGATGTTGTTACATCCGTAGTCGAGGATGAAGATTCTGTTGTCGAAGATGTTAATGGACTTGCTGTTGTTGATGTTGAAGCTGTCGTCGTAGAAGTCGGTATCGCCGTAGATGTTGTTACATCACTAGTCGAGGAAGAAGATTCTGTTGTCAAAGATGTTAATGGACTTGCTGTTGTTGATGTTGAAGCTGCCGTCGTAGAAGTCGGAATCGCTGTAGATGTTGTTACATCCGTAGTCGAGGATGAAGATTCTGTTGTCGAAGATGTTAATGGACTTGCTGTTGTTGATGTTGAAGCTGCCGTCGTAGAAGTCGGTATCGCTGTAGATGTTGTTACATCCGTAGTCGAGGATGAAGATTCTGTTGTCGAAGATGTTAATGGACTTGCTGTTGTTGATGTTGTTGATGTTGAAGCTGCCGTCGTAGAAGTCGGTATCGCTGTAGATGTTGTTACATCCGTAGTCGAGGATGAAGATTCTGTTGTCGAAGATGTTAATGGACTTGCTGTTGTTGATGTTGAAGCTGCCGTCGTAGAAGTCGGTATCGCTGTAGATGTTGTTACATCCGTAGTCGAGGATGAAGATTCTGTTGTCGAAGATGTTAATGGACTTGCTGTTGTTGATGTTGAAGCTGCCGACGTAGAAGTCGGTATCGCTGTAGATGTTGTTACATCCGTAGTCGAGGATGAAGATTCTGTTGTCGAAGATGTTAATGGACTTGCTGTTGTTGATGTTGAAGCTGCCGACGTAGAAGTCGGTATCGCTGTAGATGTTGTTACATCCGTAGTCGAGGATGAAGATTCTGTTGTCGAAGATGTTAATGGACTTGCTGTTGTTGATGTTGAAGCTGCCGACGTAGAAGTCGGTATCGCTGTAGATGTTGTTACATCCGTAGTCGAGGATGAAGATTCTGTTGTCGAAGATGTTAATGGACTTGCTGTTGTTGATGTTGAAGCTGCCGACGTAGAAGTCGGTATCGCTGTAGATGTTGTTACATCCGTAGTCGAGGATGAAGATTCTGTTGTCGAAGATGTTAATGGACTTGCTGTTGTTGATGTTGAAGCTGCCGACGTAGAAGTCGGTATCGCTGTAGATGTTGTTACATCCGTAGTCGAGGATGAAGATTCTGTTGTCGAAGATGTTAATGGACTTGCTGTTGTTGATGTTGAAGCTGCCGACGTAGAAGTCGGTATCGCTGTAGATGTTGTTACATCCGTAGTCGAGGATGAAGATTCTGTTGTCGAAGATGTTAATGGACTTGCTGTTGTTGATGTTGAAGCTGCCGACGTAGAAGTCGGTATCGCTGTAGATGTTGTTACATCCGTAGTCGAGGATGAAGATTCTGTTGTCGAAGATGTTAATGGACTTGCTGTTGTTGATGTTGAAGCTGCCGTCGTAGAAGTCGGTATCGCTGTAGATGTTGTTACATCCGTAGTCGAGGATGAAGATTCTGTTGTCGAAGATGTTAATGGACTTGCTGTTGTTGATGTTGAAGCTGCCGACGTAGAAGTCGGTATCGCTGTAGATGTTGTTACATCCGTAGTCGAGGATGAAGATTCTGTTGTCGAAGATGTTAATGGACTTGCTGTTGTTGATGTTGTTGATGTTGAAGCTGCCGACGTAGAAGTCGGTATCGCTGTAGATGTTGTTACATCCGTAGTCGAGGATGAAGATTCTGTTGTCGAAGATGTTAATGGACTTGCTGTTGTTGATGTTGAAGCTGCCGACGTAGAAGTCGGTATCGCTGTAGATGTTGTTACATCCGTAGTCGAGGATGAAGATTCTGTTGTCGAAGATGTTAATGGACTTGCTGTTGTTGATGTTGAAGCTGCCGACGTAGAAGTCGGTATCGCTGTAGATGTTGTTACATCCGTAGTCGAGGATGAAGATTCTGTTGTCGAAGATGTTAATGGACTTGCTGTTGTTGATGTTGAAGCTGCCGACGTAGAAGTCGGTATCGCTGTAGATGTTGTTACATCCGTAGTCGAGGATGAAGATTCTGTTGTCGAAGATGTTAATGGACTTGCTGTTGTTGATGTTGAAGCTGCCGACGTAGAAGTCGGTATCGCTGTAGATGTTGTTACATCCGTAGTCGAGGATGAAGATTCTGTTGTCGAAGATGTTAGTGGACTTGCTGTTGTTGATATTGAAGCTGCCGTCGTAGAAGTCGGTATCGCTGTAGATGTTGTTACATCCGTAGTCGAGGATGAAGATTCTGTTGTCGAAGATGTTAATGGACTTGCTGTTGTTGATGTTGAAGCTGCCGACGTAGAAGTCGGTATCGCTGTAGATGTTGTTACATCCGTAGTCGAGGATGAAGATTCTGTTGTCGAAGATGTTAATGGACTTGCTGTTGTTGATGTTGAAGCTGCCGTCGTAGAAGTCGGTATCGCTGTAGATGTTACATCCGTAGTCGACGATGAAGATTCTGTTGTCGAAGAAGTTAATGGACTTGCTGTTGTTGATGTTGAAGCTGCCGTCGTAGAAGTTGGTATCGCTGTAGATGTTGTTACATCCGTAGTCGAGGACGATGATATTGCTTCTGTTGTCGGAGATGTTAATGGACTTGCTGTTGTTGATGTTGAAGCTGAAGTCGTAGAAGTCGGTATCGCTGTAGATGTTGTTACATCCGTAGTTGGGGATGAAGATTCTGTTGTCGAAGATGTTAGTGGACTTGCTGTTGTTGATGTTGAAGCTGCAGTCGTAGAAGTCGGTATCGCTGTAGATGTTGTTACATCCGTAGTCGAGGATGAAGATTCTGTTGTCGAAGATGTTAATGGACTTGCTGTTGTTGATGTTGGAGCTGCCGTCGTAGAAGTTGGACCTTCTGTTGTCGTTTGACAAACTGGAAGCTGAGGGAAAACTGTACAAATTGGATTCTCGGTAGATAATGTGCTTGGAGCGTCCGTTGTGGTTGGAAGTGCTGTTGATGTAGTTGGAGCTCCAGTTGAGCTCGGAATAGCAGGTGATGTTGTTGGACTGTTAGTAGAGGTTGGAATAGCCGTAGATGTCGTTGGAGGAACTGTTGTAGTTGTTGGTGTAGTTGTGGTTTCTGGTGCCGGAGTGGACTGAAACTGGTTAGGATCATACGGTCCATATGGTCCATACAGCCCATAGGGCCCATAGTATTCATACGCATATGGGTTAAAACCATCTTGATTCTGGTATACATTCGCCCAATAGTTGTTATAATAGTTATTTAGATAGTCATTGTATTCATTTTCCTGCTGATTGCTACTCTGTGGCCGCTGGTTATTGTTATTGCCCGAATTTATTTGAATGCCGGTAAGACGCGTAAACAAATTAGAGGCATCCCACACAGGTATCCGTATTTGTAATGATTGACTCCGAACTTGGTTAGCTAGCAAGAGCCACAAGCTTACAGTGATTAATTTCATTCCGAACAGAGATTAACCTGCGTCTAGGTTAGTCTAGAACTGAATTGGTAGCCACTAACCACATGGAGTTTTATACATGCCAAAGAAGTCGTAAAATCAAAATGACACTCTACACAAACAATAGTCTGGGTAAATATAAATTAATAAATTTGAAAGGTTTTTTAGAATTTGAAGAAGAATAATAGCTACCAATGCTAATTTGTTCTATACTAACCACTAAGCTTTGTCCATGCAAGTGGCGCATGATTGGGGTGTGTCTACTGCTTCTGTGGAATTCTCTAAAAAGATTCTACTACACTAGTCAGCAAATTTTAGGTAAAATTTAAATGAAAATGTAGTAAGAACACTGAAATATATAGTATTACTACAGATATAGTAAGTACATATAAAATATATATGCAGAAAACATAAATTAACCAATTATTTATGATTTAAAAAAGGAAAGGAATTATAAATAAATTCAATAATTGAATACCAGATTTGGCTCCAGTAACAAATTTAAAGATGCGAATTTTAAACTAGTTGTGATTTATTGAATTTTTGGTGAGATCTGTTCTATCCCAAAGTCGGCACTTATTTTAAGAACATATCTTTAGTTTTCAATTGTATGTAAGCTAGTGTTTCTGGTAAAAGAAAGTCTCTCAGCTACTTGAATGTTTTTGCGTTCTTTAATTAAATAAATTACTGGTCGTATGGGTAAAATACTTTATTTCCTGGCGTCGTAACCAAAGTAAGGAGCTGGCTGTGTCCTGCGGTAGATGCCATTGTATGGTATATACAAGGGAGAGGCCTGTGCCGAAGAGGATGCAATAGCCGCTCCCCGGACAAAGATTGGATTTGAACTGATTCGGTGTAGATCATAGGGACTGATGGGTGAGTTGGGCACGTAGTGGAAAGGAAGTGGTGTCGTCTGAGCTCGTCCTGGGGGATTAACTGCATCCACAGTGGTATCGGTGTTTTGGGTGCCCACAGCATCAGAAGTCATTGTAGAAGGTGTTGTGGAAGTCGTTACCGGATTAACTGCATCTACAGTGGTGGGCGTAGATGCTGTCGTTGTCGTTGTTGTTGTCGTTGTAGTTGGTGGATTAACTGCATCTACAGTGGTGGGAGTAGAGGCTGTCGTTGTAGTAGTTGTAGTTGTTGGGTTAACTGCATCCACTGTGGTGGGCGGTGAAGCTGTTGATGGTGGATTAACTGCATCTACAGTGGTTGGCGTAGACATCGTGGTCGATGGAGTGGTAGAGGTTCCGGGAATGGCATTCGAAGTTGAAGTTCCACTATCGGTTGTCGTTGGAATCGCTGGAGATGTTGTAACCGGCGCTGGTGTAGTCGTTGGCGGATTGGGTCCAGGTCCAAAGTTGCCATTTTGGCCATAGGGTCCATATGGGCCGTAAAGGTAAGCTATGTACTGAACGTACTGTTGGTACTGAACGTACTGGTTATACGCTGCCTGGGCTTCGTAGAACTGTTGCAATTGGCTGTAATAGTCGTAATAGTCTCGAGTGGCTTGAGCATTATTGTTGCTATTGCTGCTGCTCGAGGGGGAGCTGGGACGAGAGCCACCGCCTCCGGTTAGGGCCGAAACAAGGCCTCCCGGTGAGAGGGGAATAGTGAAGGTCTGGCTACAGGCCTGGCCGGCCAAAAGGAAAAGCAATCCCAATGATGTGATCAGCATTGCGAGCTGGATTCTACGATGCTCCGGTTAGTTTAGAACTAATGCGGTGGGTATAAGATGCCAAGAGTTTTATATAGTCTCTCGGGTGTCATAAATTGGATTGTGTCTGGGAGCGACAAAAGATTAGACTGGAGCTTCGAATTTGGAACTAAAGAAGATTCACATTTGCGATTTGAATTTTTATTGTTTTGGTGAGCGAAATCACAGAATTTAGCAGAAAGCGACCACTGCATAACTTAGTAGACTGATGACCCGTCATAATCGGAGTTCTACTTAACGGACCCCTCTATTACCAAACCTCGTTAATTTGCTAATCATCTTTGATTAATTTATAACTTTATTGATCTCTACTGACTGATGATGCTCTCTTAGCCAACTCTATTGTAAAAACCAATCGGTCTGTAGACGGGTCTATAATAAACATATCTTACTGGCTGTCTATAGTAAACCACATTGCTTTGCGTTTGACTTTGGGGACGAGCCACAGTCGGACGGCTTGTAGTCTGCTGAAGAACTTTATTCACCGGCTGCTCAGCTCCATCCAGATCGTACTTGATACGCGATCCGTTCTTAAAGTCTATATAGTCGTAGTCCTCATCGTTACCAGGCGCATTCAAGTCCTTTTCCACCGCTGGCTTTCGCGTCGTGGTGGTGGCCTGGGCAATAAAATCTGCCAGCATGGCAGCTGAGGGTGAAGTTGCTCCACTTCCAGGTTGCCGTAAACCCTGTAGAATTCCCTGGAGGAACTGTTCACGTACCAAATCGCTGGCTGGTTGGGAGTTTGTTGTCTCATCTAAAAGCGGCAACTTCATGGTGGCACTGGAAGGAGGTAGCTCGTCCAAGGGTCTCCGGATGGGTATTCCAGGCAATGGGGCACCAGCTTGTGGCAAGCCCCCGGGATAGGATAATAGGAGCAGCCATGGTATCGCTGTTCGCATCTGTTCCTGCTTGGACTCTAGGTCAGTTGCACCCGAACCAAGACTGGTCAGAGCCAGTAAACACAGTAGAAATCCGATTACTTTCATATCGAAACACGTTCGGCCATCAACTAAGTCTACCGGGGCATTGGGTTTGCATATTTAGGAGATATCTGCACTCGGCGAGACATAAATGCTAATTTCGATCCATTAATAAGTTGGCGATCAGAGAAATCGATCGCGTCTCTCTTTTTCTTTCTCTTCGCGCTTTTGTTTACCCATTTAATTCGATTTAAATCTGTTTATAAGAGCTAAATCAGCTAATATGATAACACGTCGGAAGCCGTCAGCTCTGGAAATGTTTTTGGCTTTTAGCAAATCTGTCTTTCTCCCGCGATTACAAATATCACTCACTTAGATTCTTTTAAATCAAAGTTAAATAAAAATAAATGTACATTTCTTTAAGGGTGTTTATGATTTTACTAAATTTGATGTTCCATAAATATTTCTATTTCTTTCCCACGAACTGAAAGTATCTACCTGGCTGGTCTCCTTGGTAGAACTGATCGTATGGGATATATACTGGGGCTGGTGCAGGTGCTCCCTCCTCCGTTCGAAGGACATAATTGGGAAGCGGTTGCCTGCGACCCGGATTGATAAGATGGAAGGGTAGAGGCGTGGTTTGAGCCCGAACTTGTGGCGCAACTGCCGTTGAGGTGGTGTCCGTGTTTTGGGGAGCCACAGCTGTGGAGGTCGTTGGAGATGGTGTCGTTGTGGGTTGCGTTGCAACTGCGGTCGATGTGGTTGGGTCTCCGGTCGATGTTGGAATAGCAGTTGAAGTGGTTGGTGTACCCGTCGATGTTGGAATAGCAGTTGAAGTGGTTGGTGTACCCGTAGAGGTTGGGATCGCAGTGGATGTTGTGTCTGTGTCGGGAGCTTTGGTTGTCGGTGGCGGTCCATAGGGAGGCGGTCCATAAGGTGGATAGCCACCATATGGTCCATAGGGCCAGTAGGCATAGTAAGCTGCCTGGGCTTGGTAGTACTGCTGCCAGTAATCACTGTAATACTTATTCAGATATGAGTCGTACTCCGACTGGCCCTTGTGCTTATGGGGACGAGTGCCAGAGCCACCTCCTCCGATGTGTATGGTGGGAAAGTTGGGAATACCGAAGTGAGACAAGTCTCCGAAGGACTGACCCGTAAACAGGAGAAGTAGGCCCAAGGTTTTGATCAACATGGCGAAAACTATCTTAGAACTGAAGAACTGATGGCAGATCACCTCACTTTTATACAACCTTAGAGTTGTTCAAAATTATATTCTGAATTTTAATTTTGCCGAAACATGAACTTTGGCCAAATAATCGATTTATATATGCATAGTCTTGGCTAATAGATAGCATATCTTAATAACTAAATGAGCTTTCATAGCACCTCTGAAGATCTGGAGTTTTGGTATATGTTTGAATAACTTATCTACATATATGGCCCCCACAGATTGACATGGATTTAAAGTAGGCCTTGTCTTTGGATCTTTTAAATACATAATTTGACTTCTAAGCTGGGTGCGTAGAAATTTCGATGGGATGAGTGCCATTGGTCGATTCGATGGCTTATTAATATGTATCCCAGGCTGCTAAACTTAAATTAGAAAATGTCAGAATCTTAAGATTTGCTTCTTTAACATTCAACCAAACTTAAAATGGCTTTTTTTCATACCTTTGTATATTATATGTGCATTATTATTATTTTTATGTACGAATATTATACATTATAATATTATTCTGAAATTTGTAAAACAGTGAAGAGTCATTTCCGAAACAAACATTGGCAAATTAAACACAATTATATTGTTAATTCAATAGGTATTTTTATTTTTATTTATCTCCAAAGCTGTATGAGTTTTACAAGAGTTTCCACATATATCCAGTCTAGGTCATCTAATGTGAAAAGAGATTATAAATATATAATACAAAGGCTCCTATTCCAAGGCATTTCTTAACCCCTTACCTGCCACTCATCCTCAAAGACGGGAAAGCTGAGAGTCTGCATATTGGTCAAGTGAGCTTGGCTGCTCCTGAGATTCCTTACCATCATCCTACGGGGCACATTTTGCCGTATAATCTTGACCCGAGTTCGGGGTACATCCGGTTTAGTGGTAGCCACCAGATGGCTATAATCCCTCCTGTCCTGCTCCAAGGACCGGTGATTACCGAGATCCCTTCCTTGGAGATTCAGAAATTGGGAATTGGAGCGATGGCCTCCTCGTCTTAAGCCAAATCGGAACATTTTGAATATTTTTCGCAGTGCATTATCATCGTCATCATCATCATCATCGTTGTCGTCATGGTTACGCCTTCTATGCGGACCGTTGTCACCTCCCAATTGGATAACTTGAAAACCGGATGGGAATTGGTCCTTCGTGATGTTTTGTAGTTTCAAATAATCCCAGATTCCGTCCGGAAGGTTCGAGTCTCTGTTGTTATTTGGACCATTGGAACCTCCCAATTGAATAACTTTAATGCCGTCTGGGTATCTCTCCTTATGTTTGTGTTGTGGCTTTGAATTTGAATCCCCAAATGGTGAAACGAAAACCACCTGTCCACCGCCTGGTAAATCGTATACTTGATTCCCGCGTCCAGCTATAAAAGTAGCTTGGAGGATCAGAAAGAAGCCGAGGTGGGCCACTAACATGGTGCTTAGTTCCAGAGTTTAATTTCAGACTAAGTCCTAAACGAAAAGATGGTAGAGTTTTTATACTAAAAGTATAGAGATTTATCTAAATTGTTATTAATGGTTTAGTTTTTAGGGTTCTTATGCGTATTAATTACAGCTTCTCAAAGGTTGCTGGAAGATTTTGATAAGAAATGTTATTTCACTCTTTATTCTAAGAAGATAATGAATGAATTATTATATTGAGATTTAATCTAATGATACCCGAATCACTCAAATAATTTTACTAAGAAATGTATGTAGAATGCGTAAAGTGTGCCACATTATTGGAAGTTGTAATGATTTATAATTACAATCTTAAATTGAAGAACTTTTAAGTCACAAATAAAGCAAGTCATAAGTTTTCTTTAAGAATCCCAACAACACCTGGAATGTAAATTCTTTCTGCCATCTGCCGAGTTGTTGTAAAAAAGATTTAATCACTTTGATGGTCCACTGGGGCCAGCTGGGGGTCTTGAGCAATAAAAAAACAACCAAAATGAACCGTTAGACTAGCTAACTAATCAGTGACGACGATCTAAGCGAATAAAGCCGCGCGACTAGTCACTAAGTTGGGCGTGTTCTGAGCTGATTTTAATAGCCGAATAAATTTGCATGCTAACTGGCCTGGTGACTTGTCATTTTCTTGGGAGATCTTTTGAAAAGCTTGGCTAAGTGGGTTAATGTTCAGTGGCTCAATGGTTCGTTACCGTTTTTGGCAATAACTCAGGGGGCGCGATCGCATTTCTTTTCGCGAATTGGTCAGGTATAAATAGCGCAGGTGGTGCCATCTGTCAATCAGTTCGAAGCGAACACCTATCACACCATGAGCCCCAAGTTGGTTCTCTGCCTGTGCCTGGCGCTCTGCGGAGCCCTGGCGATGGCCCGCCCCCAGGAGGAGGAGACCCTCGGCCAGGAGTCGAGTGTGGAGACCAGCCAGGAGCTGAATAGCGTTGAGAACGACGCGGAGACCGATCCCTCCACCTGGCGCAAGCTCTTCGGCAGCGATGGCAACCTGGTCGTCAGCTTCCCGCAGCCCAGCTCCACCAAGAGGCCCACCAAAACCCCCACGACAACGAAGACACCCTACCCGCACTATCCACACTATCCGCACTATCCGCACTACCCACCACCACCACCACACGGCCACTATCCCTATCCTGGCTACCCCTATCCTCCGTACCCGTATCCTCATCCCGGTCATGGACACGGCGGCTGGCCTCATCCCACGACGAGTTCTACATCGACAACTACTACCACCACCACCACCAGGAAGCCACCAACTCATCCCACTCATCCTGGACACCCGTATCCTCCCTTCCCCCACTACCCGCCCTTCCCGCCACCACCACCACCACCGTACTACCCACCCTACTACCCACCACCACCACCACCACCACCACACCACCACCATGACTCTGATGAGTCCACCGAGGCCCCCATCAAGCTCTGCAAGAAGTTCTTCGGCCCATCCTGGTGCATCTCCCGCTAGATAGTCTTTCATCTATTTGTCACCCATCGAAAGCTCAATATTTATTTATTTATAAAAACAAATTTATCAAACGAATAAAACATTGGCATAAAAACACAGTGATTTTGATTCTATATTAAGAATTTATAAGGTTATATATTCATTTCAGAACCAATTAGATTGTATTGTATTATATTTTCAGTCAGAAGCTTGAAACTCAATGAAGGAGTCGTTTCCGACCCTATAAATCATATATATTCTTGATCAGCATCAACACACGAATCTTTCTATGCATGTACAAAAGAAATTTTATTTTTTTTAATTTTTTCCAAAATTTTATAACCGATTTTTACATCTTTGACATTTTAAAAAATTGATAAAAATTTATATTTTCTTATATTAAAAATTGAGTATGCAGGTTTGTTAATCTACTAAAAACTAGTATAGAACAACTATCCGAATTGAAATTAATGATTTTTTGGCTTAGTTATGAGTTTCTTAAACTATGATTTTTGGACAAAATTCTCTTTTTTATACCTTTTTGCTGGTTATTATAATTTTATTCAGAAACTTATTACAGCATCAACAAACGCAGTATGCAGATTTGTTAGTTCTATAAAAACTGGAACAGAATCAAAATTATTGATATTTTAGCTTTTAGTTTTTATACCTTTTTGCAGAATATAATTTCAGTCAGAACATTAAAACGCAATGAAGGAGTCATTTCCGACCCTATAATTCATTCTTGATCAGCGTGAAAAGGCGAATCGATCTAGCCATGTTCGGTAGAATAATTTTTTTCGAAATTTTTCAAACAATTTTTTTCGTTAAAAAAAATGACAAAATTTTACAAAAAATTTATTTTTATTTAACTTTAAAATTCAATGTGCAGATGTGTTAACGTTATAAAAACTAGCACAGAAAAGTTATCCGAATCGAAATTAATGGATTTTTGGCCAAGCTATGATGTTTGAAAAACTTTGATTTACCCAAAACATTAGCGTATATAAATTATAGATTTAATATGCGTAGAACAAACATATTTTAGGTTTTCTTGGGTGAGTTCAGGAGTATACACACTTTGGCTTCTTGAACTCATCTTCATTTCTTGTTAATTATTGAGAAGTAAAGAATATTCCCATGCCTGATATACACATTTTCAAGTTTACAATCCAAACCGAATTTCACAGAGTGTTCCGCATGAATTTGACACTTGAAAGAGGCGTCTCGAACCTGTCAACCAAAGCACCAAGATAAACTCATTCAGCGTGGCCCCAGAAGACTTGTTCGATTTGATAAAAGGCCTTCATAAATTCTGGATTTACGTTCTGCTGCTCCACAGGTGCGCCCTGGAGATTCGTCTCTAATTGACAGCGACAGCCTCATTAACATGATTGTCGGCCGCGGAATCGGTGTAACCAAATGTTTTGCTTGTCCCCCGTTTAACATTTCCAAATCGCTTGTGGCACATACTTTACATATTCAAATTTTATTTAGTGGCCAAAACGGAATGGAATGGGATGGATGTAATGTGGCCTCCAAGAGAGAGAAAGAGGGAGAGATGACTTCACCGCCCAGTTGAGGTGGACGAGTGGCGTGGAGCTCATTATAGAGATAAACTTCGAACAATGGCCAATGTCTGTCATCCGGGGGTCGGCTTATTTATCGGGATCTGGCCTGCGTGCAGACTTTCTGGCGACACTAATTAAATGTCCGCCCGCCATTACTAAATCAAAACAATTCCCAAAAACAGGACAAACAACAGCTCCGAGATGCAGATACTTGCCACACAAAGGCCAGACGGAGCAGTTAACTATTTTCTATACAACTCAGCTCCTTGTGTTCCGAAAATCGTAAATTTCGGATGTTGTTAAAAAAGTTTTTGGCAGCGGCATAAATCTGCGGCCAAGGGGGGCCAACAACAGTCACGGCAAAGTCGGTTCACTAACGAGCCAAAATCGTTGACTGGAAATCCTTGAGTACAGCAATAATGCCTATAAATATATGCTGAAGGAATTGTCTTGTGCCCTTTGTTGGATTCAATTGAGAGTCAAAGGGAAAACTTTTTTGGCCAACCATGCGAAGGTCAACAGCGCAATTTGTTTTCCCCGGAACATGTTCGCTATCTGAGGGATGAGTATATGGTGATTCCTCCAAGTTCCTAGCTCAAGTTGAGTCGAAATTACCACTGTTTGCGATGCCTCCGAGCGATCCATCCTTCCCAGCAGGGAATCGAAGATGGGTTATGAAGTGCCGTGAAGCCTGATTGTCCAAACAGTGAACGTAATTACCCAGTATCACTCTCAGGAGGAGGGGCGCAATTACACGCAGATTACCACGTAATTTATGAAATATGCAGGAACGAATAAAGCGCTGTAAAACACGTATACACTGGACCCCATAAATATGCCAGCCGGCTTAGCCAAGCTGCCCATAAACTATACATTTGCCGGGGCCATCTTCCAGCCTCCAGCCTCCATCCTCCGGCGTTCATTCTCCGTTCAAATGTAAATAGGACCCCTGCCAGCCTTTTGGCCATCTTGACTTTGAGCCTGGCAACCGGCGGAAGTACTTGCAGCAGCGGAAATACAAATGAAGTTTGGCCATATCAGTGGAACTTACTTAGCCAACATTTTTATGGCATTTCGCATTGTTAGGACAACTTTTCGGTCCGAAAGCCGGCTCGCGCGCTTTATGCTCTTAGAGACAGTTATTAAAAATCTGATCTTCCTGGAAGTCTCCCTAAAACGTACTTAAATTGGATGCCTCCCAAATCGGTTCGGGAATTTGCTCAGAAAAAACAAGAAATAAGAAAAAAAAAAACGTAAAGCAAATTAAGAGCGCCGTTGAAATGAAACAAATTCCACTTGATTCGTTTGTGTAACGTTTTTTGCTGCATCAAATTGCTCGGCAAATTTTGTACATTTCTCTATGGGATCCCAGAGTGTGTGTGTGTGTGGGTGTGTGTGTTTCAAATATAATTTGCACTCAACAAATAAATCGCCCGACTCTCCTTCAGCCAGGACCCTCGTCTCCTCTTGGCCATTGTTCGCGACAATAGACGTCTGCGTATGGCTTTTCACTTTAATTGTGTGAAATTATTTTGAAAAAGTGTTTCGCTTTTCATTTCGTTGTGCTCTCTCCTTGCTCTCCCCCATATATACATTTTTTTTTTGTTAACGATTCGTTTAGCACAAGGCCATATTTATTTGAATGGCAGCCTTTTAATGTCGATTTTTATTGTGCGCTTTATAGACACAAATTGCCTAGACAAATGAGACAGGGAAAAACAATTTATGGATACACATATATATAATATATATATATTTGATGGCGGAAAATATTGAATACATTACGTTTGATGGCAGAGAGCTCTTCGAGTCCTCTGCAAATATAATTTCATACTTATGAATGTCTTTTGCCATTGCCATTGAAGTTTTTAATTAAAAAGAGAAACGCAGATCTATGAATAGGTGAACGTTAATTAACACTGTTGACCCAAAAGCTCCGCTCTCTGACCCCCCCCCCCCGCCCACTCAGACGGCATCGTTGTCGAATTTTATGTGTTGGCCATCCTTGTGGGCCATTAGGTCTATTTTCCTTGGCCACATTTACGTCAGAAGTGATTGTAATGAGTTTTTGATATTCGCCCAATGGCTGGAACTCCCTTTTGGGTTGGCCAAAACCCCCTCCCCTCCCCCCAGCAAGGCACTTCCTGTTCTTGTCAATTTGAAAATGGCCTCAGTTTGGGCCAACTGTCGGATTGTCAGGCTCGGACACAGTTGGCTGTCAAACGTAAAAAATGGCAACACACAACACAGAAAATATATGTACAGTCCTGCCTGCCAGTTGCTGTCGAAGTAATCAAAATGTGGCCAGAGAAATCAAAGCATCCTAGGATAAATACTGAATTAAATATCAGCAGGATGTATCCAGTCAGTTTTGGGGGATAAATTTAAAGGGGCCGTTTAATTCGGGTCCCTGAGGTTTTTCCCTATATTTTGACGTTAAGCGAGCGAGTTTAGGGACAGGACTTTGGAGTTTTGTTTTCGCTGAGGGCTCGCCAACAAAAACAAAAGTCGTCTTAGGCAAAGGCGCCAATGCGAAAGGCACACACACACACATACATAGACACCCTCAAGGACCTTGTTACCTCGCGGTTTGCCGCGTCCCTTTCTCCGCTTTCACTTTCGCGGGCTTCTTTTTTTAATTTCTTTAAGAGCTAAACAGAAATGGCGAAATAAGCATAATTTCAGGCGCCATAAAAACAAAGGCAGGAAAAAATAAATTCACACAATTTGAAAAACGCAAACACTCAACACGCCAGCCAGGCTACAGACTACACAGCTGCTTAGCTCCGCTGCTTCCACATTCTAGCTTCCTTTTTTACACTGCCAGAAAATAGAGGTATATTCAAGATTTAACTTTAAATATATATAGTGTTCCATTTATTAATTGTGTTTAATTGATTACTACTTAAGCTATATAATGATTGGAGCCATCTATTTCTTTGAATACCTTTCAAAACTCAAACTTGAAGGAGTAATTATTGATTCTCTTTTATTTAAGATATTTTTTATATATTTAAATACTTTTCTTTTATGGAATCTACCATTTTTCCCCATTTTCCATGCTGTTTCTGCAGCTGTTTAATGGCTTTCCCTCTCCCTGGCTAGGTGCGGGTGTTTGTGTGTGTGGTTGATGGCCAACATTCTTGGTTTTCCTTCTAGTGTTGGATGAGGATGAATTAAAAAAATGTTTACGACTCGACCGCTTGATTTTCAGCACATTGGTAAAAATAGCTGGGGCCAAGGAAAAGCTGAAAAACAAAAAAAAAAAACCAAGAGCGTGAAGGACCATAACCGAAAGAATGTGCAAAAGCACACCTCCCCATTAGCAGCCGTTGCCCTTCATCCCCTCATTCCCATTCTCATCCGGAGCCACATCCTCATCCTCATTCTCATCCTCGTCCTCGTCCTTGTCCATCGAACCTGCTGTGGCCATTACAGAGCCAGACCAAA